AGCTGCAGCTGCCCGGCTCCCAGGCATGGAGTGAGGAAAACCAGGCAAACTTCGCCCTCCCTTTGCACTGACTGCCTGCAGCCCACTCCCTGCCTAACACCCCCTTCCCCTGCCATATTGCTCCAAGGCACTCGGGGCTATGCGAGGGCAAGCCTCCCAGAGGCACGGAGCAGGGGGCACAGCTTGCTGCCGCTAGCCCAGGACACTGGGCTATCACTGCCTACATAGCCTTGAGCTCCCTGCTGCTTGGAGCTGCCCCCCAGAACTGGAGACAGCTTCTCCTCCACCCTCCAGAGCTCAGGGTTGACCCCCAGTGCCCCATGACAGCCTAGAGCTGCCTCCAGTGCCATCCTGTCAGGCTTAGTTTCTTCCCGACCCAGGCACACAACATGTGCCTGGGTGCAGTTTAATGTGCCTGAATTTTCTGCACAGAAAATTCAGGCACATTAATTGTATATGTAGGCGCACCCACTTACCACATAAGCAAGTGTAGGGAAATTATCATTTGTTACAAAGCTAAGATAAAATTGAAAGGGCTTCTAGAGTCATGTCCAGTAGCACAAAACTAATATTAGATGAAGATAAAGAAATGGCAGTAGGGCAATTGGAATTTGCATATCAGTGGTTGTGTCTACACAAAACGCTTTATTGCTCAGTGGACTATTCCACAGCAGTTTAGCACGTCACAGCAAAAACCATGCTAATGCACTAATGCTCAATAGAATTAGTCTACAGCACATTAAGTGTCAGAAAAAGTTTGCCTTTGCTATTGCACATTAGCACAGCTACTGCACCTTTATCTAGTACCTCATTAGAGGTACTAAACTTAATGTACAGTAGCAAAGGCATGTTAATTAATGTGTAAACATGCCCAACGCTCTGTAAAGTAAATTTCTAAAAGAAAGATTAATTTTAGGATACTTAATTGTATTGAATTCTTCAACATATGTATGATGAACTGTACCTTACCTCCATTTCTTTATAGTAAATCCTTTTGCCCCAGGATGGGAAGCAGTTTGCCGTCAGATTTCTTATGATTGTGAAGATGAAACCAACAGGAGAATTCAAAAGGTGATATTTGTAATGCAAAAATAACAAAAATAATTGTGAATATTCTACGTTCTAAAACAGATTTCTTTTTGTAAACTGTATACTACAAACCTCGCTAGAAGTAAAATTAACATTTCTGTGTAGAAAGCCTGAATAATTGGGCTTTTGGAGGACACTAAAAAGAGCATCATGGAAAAGGAATCCATTCCACCAACCCACAGGTAGTGTGGTACTTTGGTACCATTATTCCACCTAAGATTAGGAAAATATCCATGACTTCTTCAAGTTCTTTAAGCAGTGACCCAATTGATTCAAGTAAACAAAAAACCAGTGGCTCTTCCTTTCTCTTCATCTATCAGCCAGTGACCCTCTTTACATCACATTACATGGATGGGTATTCCTTAATATGCAGCATATGTAGAGGTTCCACAGAACTTTTTACCTCGGAGTACTTTGCTTTGCACCTGGGTTGGGCTGCCCATAATTGTGTTCAGTAGGCCAGGAAAGTTTAAAAGTTGTGGAAGGCTTCTCATGGTCCTTTCATGCTAGAGTGAATTTCAGGCATAGTAATCTACACATATTGATTCATCTTAATCCTGCCATACCAAAATTTTATGAATTTAGCAGCAATATGAAGTGATGCAGAGATTTTAAATAACTCAGCTCAAAATAGAAAACTTCCTTTGAATGTCAGTTTGATCCAAAACTTGTAAAGGAGAAATCATTGTTAATGTTTCTGATACATTTACTTTCTAAAATATGAAATTATCATGATTTGAAATTATTTATCAGATGTGTATATATCTCCCTTTCCAACAAAGGTTTATTACTGTTATATGTATTATTTTTTTTATTTTAATTTTCTTGGAACATGGACTTTTGGATTATAATTGATAGCTAGAATATAGTTTTACATATGACCTAGAGTACATTCTTTTTTATATGTAACTGGATGGTGTTTTCATATGCATGTGATCCTGGGCCCACTGAAGCCAATAAAATGACTCCATTTCAGTGTAGGAACACTGCAGGAACAGTTACACCTGGCATAGCCTGCATCTCAGGAACAAAGAGGATTTAAAGATGTGTATTTTTAAAAAAAAGAAGAAAAAGAAAGAAAACCACTTTGTTATATTTATCATTCCACTATTTCTAAATTTTAGGCAAGAGATCTCATTGAAGAATTTTTCCACGAACAACCTCTTGTTCTGAAGCATGAGTTTCAGAATATACCTGCAATACATTATATAGACCACAGTTTTGAAGTTACTCGCATTGACAGCTGTCGACCAGGTTTTGGAAAAAATGATGTCACCCACAGTGATTGTGCTAGTTGTTGTGGTAATTATAAAATACTTACATATCCTTTTTTGTTTAGTGAGCAGCCTAAGGATTATTGCATGTTAATCCTGCTTACTGTTTTCTACCAGTTATATTTTTAAATATTGGTGACAAAAATAATTCTATTGATGTTCATTCTTTGGTGACGTGCAGTAGAATTCCAGGTGCTAAATCTAGCTAAAAAGGAAACAGGTAAGGGTGCCAGCCATATTTGGTATATCTCATGTTGCATTAAGTTTTATCACCACTGGTCATGTCTATGTGACAGATATTTAACCATATTCCCCATATGGGATAAAAATATTTAACCACATTTCCATATGGGATAAATGACAGTGGGCACGTCTACATGAGATGGTACTGCGCTGTAGCATTGCTATCATGGTTCATGCCTGGCAATGCTGTGGTGCTGTAGCAATGAGCCATAGCGTCTCGTGTAGAAACGCCCACTGTCATTTATCTCATATGGAAATATAGTTGAATATCTTTCTCTTCCTCACATTAGGTCAGTTTAGGACATTTCATAGAGTCAACAAGAAATTGTTACTTGAATAGTATTATTATTGTTTTTAAAATGCTAGATTATTCCAAAGATCATCTTGCTAGCAGTATTTAATTCTGAAATTAGAGTAGCTGAAGGTAAGGCTTTTTCAGTAAAAGTTCCTCAGCTCTTGATTTTATTTTTTGTATCAGTGAGACAGAATTTTTGTGTGTTAACCTTCAGCACACACTGAAAAGACTAACTTTTTAAAGAGGGCCTGGTTTGAAATAATTAACTATTAATTTAGCAAATGCAGTTTATTAAAAGATTTTACTTTAAAAATCAGTTCTTCCATAGAAGCATTTAAATGTCACTGGTCATTTCTGACGGTCATATCTATTAATCATGGCAGACATTACTATCTGTGGTTTGTAGGCATGTATGTAGAGTCAAAGTTAAGCAATGTAAAGTTAATATTAAACCCATGATTACTTGCTTTTCTGGCACCTAGATTGAGCTCTTAGGACTAAGCTTATTTCATGTTTATGCATATAAATGGTAGTTACCTAACTGTGTACATGCAATTTTTGGAGTTTAAGCGCAGTTTGGATTCTATTTGCAGTTGCATAACTGCAATTTTCCCCGCATTTTCCTACTGAGCAACTCAATAGGCTGCACTCTGGCCATACACATCACTAGTTACATGTATAAGACTGTCTAAGTCCCAAAACTTTAATTACAGAAAAAACACAACAAGTGGAGGTTCTCTCATTTTTCAGTCCAATAGCCTAGCAGTCAGGTTACTTGTTCATGGAATGAGAGACCTAGGTTCTAGCCTCCCTTCACCCAGAAGTGGCTGGAACCTGCATTTCCTACTTCCTAGAAAAGTGCTTTAACTACCAGGCCATGGGCACCACCAGGGCTGATCAACATGTGGTATGAGTGCCACAAATGGCATGTGCAACCACTGTGTGTGGCACATAAAGGCTGGTAGGAGTGAAGGAAAGAGGGCTGGAGGCAAGGGTAGGTTTGGGGCTGAAGCAGAGGCAGGGCTGTAAACAAAGAGAGGAGGGGAAGACCAGTACTGCCTCTGCTCACCTGCTCCATGGAGAACTCAGCCCTGGCAGAGAGGGCAGGGCTGCAACAGCCTCTCACTGCCATGCTGAAAGGCCAGGTGCAGGATACCATCCCTGCCACCTGGCCAGAGGGCCTGGGTGCAGGACACAGCCCACTGCTGTCCAGCTCGAGGGGCCAGATACAGGACTCAACTGCAGCAGCTGCTGGGGCCTTTGCCTCCAGATAAGACTGGCTGCCCTCCTTTCCTTTCCCTGCACTCTGTTGCTCAGCATCCCCCACCTCAGGGCACAGACAGGTTTTGCCCAGGGTGGAATACATGTTAGTTACATCTCTACCTGGACCCAGCTGAGCCTGCCAGTTCCAGACCAGGACCTGCATGATTACAGCAGTTGGGACCTGAGAATGCAGCTAAGGGTAACCTCATTAAGAGAGTTCCTGCTAAAGGGAAGAGGATGGAGGCTGCTCTAAGAGACCCTGGTGACACCCTGCAAGCAGCCTCTGGCATGCAGTTGCCCAAGGGTGCAAGGCACATTGTCGGTATTATGGTCTCTGAAGATGCCACTTTATAAGGCCATGCAGTGTTGCTCCATCCCTGGGCATGGAGATGATACTAGTTGGTATCACCTCCAAGGCAGCACCCTGTCAGGAAGGCAGGGCCCTGCTTGTTCTGTCCCATGGGAAGTGTAGGCCCTGAAACTGTTACTGGGCACATGGCAAGCCCATCACTGAAAATATCTTTAGATGCAGGCTTATGAGTTGCTGAGACTGTCACAGGGTAAGGCTGCCTGTTACAAGTGTAGCCATAAAATAATAACGCTATTGCAGCTTACAAGGGACATGGAACCTCCCACCCCTGAGACCTCACCAAAGACCCCATGCGTGACCAGTGGTTTTCCCAACCTCTTTAAAATATTTTAAAAACATGCTTTTACTTAATTTTTCTTTTTAATTCTCAACCCAAGAAATGCAAAGTAGTAAAACAATGGTGACCAACCCACAGCATGTGCCACAAGCAGCCACTGTGTGTGGAATGAGAGCCCAGGTAGTGGACACTGGAATGGAGGCAGGGGGTGCCAGTCCCTGGCCATGCAGAGCGGAGCAGTAGTAGGACACTTCTGTGAGAGGAAGTGTCACTGCCATGAGGCAAGCTGAGACTTGCCTGGCCCCATAGCTGCTGCTAAATTAAGGGCTTTGGATCCTTGATTGTCATATAAAATTACATTGGTTTTAAGACCAAGGAAGGGTTAACCTGGTTCTTGGCATTGACACCTCCTCTCACAACTTCTTTCTGTAATGAGGTCAGAGACCCAAGCCCCACTGCCTCCATTCTGGCAGTCCATGGTGCAAACTCAAGTATGCCTCTGGGGGGACAGGGATCAGAGTAGGACTTGCGGCAAGGTGGAGCATTCTTGCCAAAAAGACTAACCACCCCACATTGGTTAGTGTGCTGTATAGCCCTTTTCTTTGGACAGCCAGGAGGGGAAGACATGGGGAAAGAGTAAGCATTTAAGCTACAATGATGGTGGTTGTGTGAAATGGATGCTGACCTAGATGGAAATGTGTTCCAGCCATGGCTCTTATCCCCAGTGGGACAAAAAATATCTACAAAGGTGCAGAAAAGCTGTTGGGTCAGGGGCAAGAGCTCAAGGCCCCTTCTTTTCCAGGGCAGCATCCATCTCACTGAGCCACCCTTCCTCTAATTTGCATGCCTCCATCTGGCCCCACATGTTTTTGCCTCCTTGATGCACAATAAGCCTACTTCAAGAGGAGAGCTGACGAGTGTTTTGGGAAATGCCTAACTCATTATCCAATGGTTAGCTGGAATGTGAGAGATGCAAGTTCAAATCCCTCTGGGTGAAAGACCTAGGGCATAAGTCTCCCATTTCTAGGGGAAGTGCACTAACTGCTACGTTTTGGGGCTAAAGGTGGGAGGGCCCTCCTCCTGGGAGAGACGCATATCATTGGGCCATACTATGTTTCTGAAGGTAGAAATAAAATCCAAACTCTGCATAAGTGCCAAAATTGCATTTACAGATCTATATTAGTGCCACTTAGGAGTGTAAAAGTGAAATAGAATTTAACCCATACTGTCTGATTCAGTAGTCCTGGCTCAGGCTCTTTTTGCTATGAAGTTAAGCAGAGTATGTTGATCTCAGCAGAATTAATATAGTTTCTAGATAGAGCTACCCAGAGGGTACTATAGGCATACAGCAATGTCAGGGACATGACTTAAAATTTTTGGTGCCTGAGTGTTGTGCAGGGCCAGGATGGGAGAGGTGAAGCGAGCATTTACCCTTCATGCAGGGGTGACAGTGGGATGGGCTGCTGTTACAGCTCTGTGAGCTGTGGTGGTGATGCTGTGGGCTCCGTGTGGGATGCCATTCTGGCACCCCCTCTGAATCATTGTCTGGGGCTGATAACCCATTTGTCCCCACAATAAGTTACACTACTGAGCAATGTAATATGAAATGAACAGTAACTGATACAAAGTAGATTCAATTCAGCAATGTTGTTTCTCTCTGCATAATCATTTGACTCCATGGGAAATACACAGCAGGCAAACAATGGTGTAGTTTCATAGTTGGTAGGGTCGGAAGCGACCTAAGCAGATCATCAAGTCCGACCCCTTGCTATGGGCAGGAAAGAATGCTGGGGTCAAACGACCCCGGCTAGGTGATTATCTAGCCTCCTTTTAAAGACCCCCAGGGTAGGATCAAGCACCACTTCCACTGGAAGTTCGTTCGAGGTCCTGGCCACCCTGACTGTGAAGTAGTGCCTCCTGATGTCTAGCCTGAATCCACACTCAGTCAACTTATGGCCATTGTTCTTTGTTACTCCTGGTAGTGCGTGGGGGAATAGGGACTCTCCCATAGCCTGCTGGTCCCCCTTGGCAAGTTTGCAGATGGCCACCAGATCCCCTCTCAGCCTTCTCTACTGGAGGCTGAACAGGTTCAGGTCCCATAGCTTCTCCTCGTAGGGCCTGCCCTGCTGCCCCCTGATCATGTGAGTGGTCCTCCTCTGGATCCTCTCGATGCTATCCATATCCCTCCTGAAGTGCGGCACCCAGAACTGGACACAGTACTCCAACTGTGGCCTGACCAATCTCACATAGAGGGGGAGGATCACCTCCTTGGACCTGCTCTATGGATGCATGACAAGGTGCGGTTAGCCTTCCTGACTGCATCCCCACACTGTCGGTCCATGTTCATCTTGGAATCAATAGCGACTCCAAGATCCTTTTCTGCCTCTGTGCTGACAAGAAGGGAGTTCCCCAGCCTGTAGGTATGCTGCTGGTTCTTCCTTCCCAGGTGCAATACCTTGCATTTGATCTACTGAATATGATTAATCAAAGATTGAAAATGCCATAATGTGCACAATACAATGTAATGCAGAGGACATCTGACTGAACTAATATGTGTTTGTTTGATTTGCAGTGGTTTGTGACCCTGGAACATATAGTCCAAACAATGAAATAACCTGTCGGATTTGTAAAAACATTCGAATCAAATACTATGGAGCTAAATCTTGCTAATAAACTTAAAATAGAAATTGGAAAACTGAAGAAAAGTTGTGAAAGCATTATTATTCTTTTGTGATGTCCATTTTTTAACAAATAGAGCTTTTACTGTTACAGTTAAACAGCAAATCATTTCATAATTCATATAATTCTACTCTGTATTTAAGAGCTAGCTGTGGCTGGATATTCTAAAAATGTCTAACATAAAATGATCAGGCATGAAGTAATTAAATAGAAGAAAAGGATTTGAAAACAATTATGAGCACTGATATGTAGCTTTTAATGAAAAGTATCTGGTTTGTTGTAAGGACAGTGAACACAGCTACAAAACTATAATTACTTTAAAATAAAGAGCCATAAGCAATTCATACAGATGACATAAATATTTTCTCATATACAACGTGCACCTTTTCCCCAAAAATCAGTCTCCCAAAATTGGGGTGCCTGTATTAATTGGGAAAGTTTTCTGTGTTGGAGAAGAAGCATGTCTGAAGACACTGGGTGTTCCATGCAGCTGCCCAGATGGCTGCTGCTTGTCCCACTCAGCAAGCTTAAAGGGCCAAGTCCTGTGTTAACCCTCTCATAGCCACAGCTATTGGCTGAGCACTGTAGCTTATGCCTGAAGCAGCAAGTGAGCAACTGGTGGTATTGTGATGAGGATTGTGATGTGAACACTGTTATTTACAGGAACTTATATGAAGAACTACTTACAGTAAAGAGCTAATAGTCTTGCTACTGCCCTTGCAAGGGTCTGGGGCCTAACCTTGTGTGACAAAGAGTAAGTCCTCCTGGGAACATAAGAGTGCCCAGGAGGTATGGTATCTCAGGCTATGGTCTGGGTGAGGCAGCAGGAGCTTTCTGCTGCACCAGGGAATTCCTTTGCCTGTTACTTCTTCCAAATTGTCTTCTGAGATACCACATTTCCTGGACAATTCCTTCATGCTTCCAGGAGAAGTTATTCTATGTCACAGAGCCACCCATGACTCTGGAAACATCTTTTTTCTGACATTCTGCCTTCCAAAAACAAGGTGCATATTTAATGTGGGGGACATGCATGTTGTATGCCAGAAAATATAGTATTATAGTAGATTGATTGTAAAAGAAATGTAATGTATTATAATGCAGTAAGAAGCAGTCTGTGTATGTTAATGTCTTTTGGAACTTACTCCTGAGGGCTGAAAGTGGTCTTTAACATATCCAGTGTAAAAATAAAGCTATTTATTGCATTCCCTTTGTTTTTGTCCATTGGGGGGGGGGGGGGA